TTCACAACACATAATGAACCCCCATACCGGTAGGGCATATAATTCATAAAGACAGCAGGTTCCCTTTAGGCTACCTTTCCAGCTTTGCCATGAAATGTACCAGGCAGCTTTCCAAGCTGGAATGCACCAGGCTGCTGGATAGCCTTGCCAGCCTTGCCAACTACCCCCTTTTGTGTAGCCATTTTAATTTCTATAAATAGGCTTTAGACTCATTCTTTGTAATCAGCAGATAATTGATAATACAATAGAAAAGGGCGCTTGCCTCCCAAATCTTGATCTCTTTCTTTCATAGCTTTCTTACTTATTTCGTGTGATTGTCATCGCTTTAGAACGATTGTACTGTTTATTGTTTAGGACTGAAGCTAAGTAGCAGTCAAGCTAACTTCTCTGTCCTCACAGAACCCTCAGAAAAACAGGGTCGAGTTTAGAGAACAAGTCTACAATTATCTTCAGTTGTGCGGCGTCGGGGTCGTCGCCATTTTAAGTGGGGGAGAGTGCAACACCCGCCGTCACACCTATTAATTTTCCGTAATTCTAGCAATGGCGTGGCTTACCCGAGCCCAAATCTCGGATAACCATCAGTGGGAAAACACTTGGGGCCTCACATAAATTATGAGATACCATCAAAAGGCACCTTTGGCAGAAAGTCAGCAGACCAAGGGACAAGCAGCCGAAAGTGGGAGAGCATCTTTAACATTCTGGGCCATGGTTGACAACAGGGTCCCTCTAGGCTGCCTTTCCAGCTTTGCCATGCTGGAATGCACTAGGCAACTTTCCAAGTTAGAATTCTAGCTCCGCCCCTGACTGCAGTGGACATGGCTATTAATGAATATCCCACATCGTTCAGGATGAAAGTATTAGACTCCTGATCTTGGTCAGCCTCATAAATTAACTTTTGGGATTGAGCTAGCAAATGATTCTTCTTCCATGTGAAAAACAGATCTTAGGCTACATTTTTTTATTTTCAATCATTTACATTTGGTCGGCCATGTGAAGTTTATCAATTTATTAGACTTCTTTCATCACAAAAAGAATTTGCTTTTACAAGACTTTTTCTAATAGTCAAGATTTAGAACCATATAGTATTGGAACTAAATAATTGAGGAAGAAAACCACTATTAACCAAGATTTGGACACGATTATATTTTTCATATATTGGATCCAAAGATGCGTGTAATTAAAATATGACTTTTGTATGACTATGGAGTCACCTAGGGTGTCAAATAGACGGGTTGGGTTAATTTTGGATGGGTCAAAACGGATAGAATCAATAAATAAGCGTGTCTATGACTCGCCCAAAAGTAACTTGGGCCGAGATAGGCTAGGTCAAGTTAGGCTAAAATTTGGGTCATAGCACAACCTGCCCAACTCTTACTAAGTTTAATTAATATATATTGTTTTCTTATGAATTGTTTAATTATCGAATACGACTTTTTTTCTGTTTTTATTGGAAACAGAAAAATCTATATTTCTCTACCCCGATATCGTATGAATAAATGGGTTAGACCATTGGAAACTAGGTTCAAATACCTTTATTTTAGTATGATATATGTCCCAAAATGACATCATAAAGCTTACGAAATAATTTCTTAAAATGGCTCGTTACAAGACAAATCTTAGCTCGATTTTTTCGCAACTTAAATCCGATTTTTCCCAAACTTTATATTTCATATCCAAACATCATACATAGTCATATCATGATTTTAAACTCATTTAAATCATGATTAATAAGTCTCACATTCATCTTAACTTACTTAAGACTTCGTTAAACCTTTCTTATCCTTGTAGAAGGATTTCGTCCTTTTTGAGCTTACATTAGATAATCCTATAATGACAGTGACGTCTGAAATACGGGGTGTAACAACATGTACCCTTAGAAACATTTGTCCCTGAATGATAACTCTTAAAGGCTTACGAAAATGGGTCGTAACATTATTAAATCACTTTATATACTTTCAAAGAGGATCTCATTTTCAAGCTTATATCAATTGACTTACGACGTACTTTCACGTATAAAAATATGGGGTGTAACATATATTCATAAATGCTCGTTCCGTATTGAGCACCAAACTCAGCTCTAAGGGTTGCCATAGCGTGTGGACAAGGTATTTCGTCTAGGTCGAACTCTCTACAATAACATGTTCTATTGCGTAGATCAACCTTTGCAACTGCACCATGACCAGTGATGTTGAACACATGTTGCCTTATTGGATGGACCAATAGCATGTTGTCCAAAGTTGTATTTTTATTAATCTTCTTTTCAAATGAAGAGACACAAATGGTTGGAGTGTCGAGGAATTGTATACGCCTCCCATGGAATTTTTGGGCAAACCTCCTATTAATAGCATCGAATAAGACAGTGATAGGGAATTCTCTTTCAAGTAGAAACATTAAGTTAACAGACTCGGCAATATTTGTGGTCAATACTTCATGCCTGAAATAATAATATATAAGACTTTTTTAGAATCTGGAATATAAGCAACAAGGTTCAAACATCTTGCAGACGTTTCAAACGTCATGAGAGATAGATGTTGGGAACAGTACTGTGTAAATATTAAGGACATGATGTCCTTAACTTCATAAATACTGTGTAAATATTAAGGACAAAGTGTCTTGTATTTGTACATTCCATTGTTAAACTTTAGGACATCATGTCCTTAACTTCATATGTTCAGTGTAAATATTAAGGACACGACGTCCTTAACTTCATGTGTGCAATATAAATATTAAGGACATAATGTCCTTAACTTGTATTTGCACCTTCTGTTGTTAAACTTTAGGATCTCATGCCCTTAACTTCATATGTNTGTCCTTAACTTTATGAGTGCTGTGTAAATATTAAGGACATGATGTCCTTAACTTCATAAATACTGTGTAAATATTAAGGACAAAGTGTCTTGTATTTGTACATTCCATTGTTAAACTTTAGGACATCATGTCCTTAACTTCATATGTTCAGTGTAAATATTAAGGACACGACGTCCTTAACTTCATGTGTGCAATATAAATATTAAGGACATAATGTCCTTAACTTGTATTTGCACCTTCTGTTGTTAAACTTTAGGATCTCATGCCCTTAACTTCATATGTATAGTATAAATATTAAGGACATAGTGTCCTTAACTTTATGAGTGTTGTATAAATATTAAGGGCATGATGTCCTTAACTTCATAAATGCTATGTAAATATTAAGGACAAAGTGTCTTGTATTTGCACCTTCCGTTGTTAAACTTTAGGACATCATGTCCTTAACTTCATATGTTCAGCGTAAATGTTAAGGACGCGACGTCCTTAACTTCATGTGTGTAGTGTAAATATTAAGGACATAATGTCCTTAACTTGTATTTGCACCTTCTGTTGTAAAACTTTAGCATCTCATGTCCTTAACTTCATATGTGGAGTATAAATATTAAGGACATGGTGTCCTTAACTTCATGTGTGCAGTGTAAATATTAAGGACATAATGTCCTTAACTTTATGAGTGTTGTGTAAATATTAAGGACATGATGTCCTTAACTTCATAAATACTATGTAAATATTAAGGACAAAGTGTCTTGTATTTGCATATTCCGTTGTTAAACTTTAGGACATCATGTCCTTAACTTCAAATATTCAGTGTAAATGTTAAGGACACGACGTCCTTAACTTCATGTGTGCAGTGTAAATGTTAAGGACATAATGTCCTTAACTTGTATTTGCACCTTCTGTTGTTAAACTTTAGGACCTCATGTCCTTAACTTCATATGTGTAGTGTAAATGTTAAGGACATGGTATCCTTAACTTCATATGTGCAGTGTAAATGTTAAGGACATAGTGTCCTTAATTTTATGAGTGTTGTGTAAATATTAAGGACATGATGTCCTTAACTTCATAAATACTATGTAAATATTAAGGACAAAGTGTCTTGTATTTGCATATTCCATTGTTAAACTTTAGGATAGCATGTCCTTAACTTCATATGTTCAGTAAATGTTAAGGACACGACGTCCTTAACTTCATGTGTGCAGTGTAAATGTTAAGGACATAATGTCCTTAACTTGTATTTGCACCTTATGTTGTTAAACTTTAGGATCTCATGTCCTTAACTTCATATGTATAGTGTAAATGTTAAGGACATAGTGTCTTTAACTTTATGAGTGTTGTATAAATATTAAGGGCATGATGTCCTTAACTTCATATGTGTAGTGTAAATGTTAAGGACACGGCGTCCTTAACTTTATGTGTGTAGTGTAAAATGTTAAGGACACTATGTTCTTAATATTTACACAACACTCATGAAGAAAGGGTAACAACGTCTTTTCGTATTAATTTTAATAGAGTAGTGGCTATTTGTGCTCAGTATTAAAAATACTGGATAAAAACTAAATACCATGTTAAAAAGTGGTTATCCCACGCCATTTCTTCACTTTTGTATGACTATGGAGTCACATCGGGTGTAAAATGGGCGAGTTGGGTTAATTTTGGACGTGTCAAAATGGGTTGAGTCAATAAATAAGTGTGTCTATGAGTCGCGCAAAAGTAACTTGGGCCGAGATAGAATAAGACAAATTTGACTAAAATTTGGGTCATAGCCCAACTTGACCAACTCTTACCAAGCTTTAGTTAATATGTATTGTTTTCTTATAAATTGTTTAATTATCGAATACGATTTTTTTTTGTTATGGTGATATATAAGGTATCAAACAAAAAAAAGTTATTTTAAAGATATTTTATTTAAGTTACTCATGAATCAATTTGAGCTAAAAAATAATCCAATTTTAAATATGCTAAAATGGTTTAAGTCAAGATGGTCTGAATTCAACAAATGAACCAGCTCAATCTTGCACGGGTCAAATGAGTTTTGGATCAAATTGACACCTCTAGAGTCACTTATGAATTTTAGGCCAAAAATCCTTTAAAATAAAATAGGAATTTGATGCTTGTTGAAATATGAGTATTTAAAAACAATATTAAGTTTTCTGTCATATATAAATTTCATTCATGACACATACTGAATGAAATCTCTAGAGTTAATTAATAAACACAACATCGTCTCTCCCAACTCCATAGTCGTCTCTCCCAACTCTCTCAGTCTCTCTCTCTCTCTCTCTCATGGATACGGAATCGACTGAGTTCCAGAGGGCCGAAATGGAGGCAATTCTCGTGACCGACTCAGAAGAGGCATTTGAAACTTTAATTTCCGATGAAATGTGGAACTCAGAGGAAAAACATCTGGAGGCTAAGTCAATGTTCAACCTGATGAAGCACAAGGATCCTGAGTCTCTTGCTAATAATCTTATTGACTTTCTCTGCTATTCCGATAACCTTGATTCCCCTCTAAGGTGCGCTGTACTCCTCTGCGAGTTTCTTAGTGATCAGGATGATGACATTGACTGGTCCACTTGGGGCAATCTAAGTGAGGGGACTCAATCAAGCATTAAGCATGTTCTTCTTAGTCATATGAAGATTGAAGAATCACAATCTGTTATATTAAAGCTTTGCGACACCGTTTCAAAGTTGGCTGCTTCACTTCTCCCTGATAACAACTGGCCTGGTTTCTTTTTTAACCTTGCAGTTGTCGGGAACGAACCAATATTCCGCTGGGTGACAAATATGCACTCGTTATTCCTAAGTTTACTAAATGATGATACTTTTAATGTTGAATTGAGGATGGATGCCCTGAGTGCTGTGACTAGCCTCATTCAGTTCATACCGAATTCAAATGAAAAACAGCGTTTTCAGGATCTATTACCAGGTATGATGAGGACGCTGACGTTGGCTGACGCATTGAGCAACGGTGAGGCAGCCCGGAAAACGCTTGAATCCCTTTTAGAATTGGCCAAGTATGACCCTGGTTTTTTCAGGCTGCAACTAGTTGTTGTTGTGGGTTCAATATTGGAGATAGCTGAGGAGGAGAAATTGGAACAAGGGACAAGGTACTTAGCAATTGAATTTTTGATAACTTTGGTTGAGACGAGAAAGAGGGCCCCAGGAATGATGAAGAGGCTGCCGTTGTTCATTAACAGATGCTTTGCTATGTTATTAAAGTTAACACTAGATACTAAGGATGACCCAGCTTGGCATACTGCCGAGACTGTGTATGATGAGACAGGGGCAACAATTAACTACCACGTTGGTATGAAGTGTTTAAATCGGTTTTCTGCTGCATTAGGAGGTAACGCTGTTGCTCATATTGCTATAGAGCAGATATCTGCTTACTTGGCTGCCCCAGAGTGGGAGAAACGACATGCAGCTCTCATTGCACTTGCTCATATTGCCAAAGGTTGCTTAAAGGTACACCAGTGTTGTCTAGTTAGTTGTGTATTTAATAATTATGGCTGTATTTGGTTTTATTATAACACATACTATTATTTTAACTCATAGCATTTAAGAGGGACTTTTTGCTGGCAAACTGCTTAAATTTATAAGATAGTTTGCCCCCATGCGCACATTACTATACCAGAATGCTGTATACTACTCTGTCTTCTCTTAGGTGATTACCTTGGAATCATGGCTTCTTTGCTATTACAGGTGATGATTAAGAATCTGGAGCAAGTGGTCGATATGGTCCTAAATTGTTTCCAAGATCCTCATCCTCGAGTCAGATATGCCGCTTGCTATGCAATTGGCCAGTTGTTGGCTGAGTTCTCTCCACATTTGCAAGAACAATTCCATACCCAAGTATTGCTTGCATTGTCAGCAGCTCTGGATGATTTTCATTCACGAGTGCAGGTTTGTCCTATGTGATATATCCTGTACTGTGGGAGTTGGCTCTTCATGTGATATCTTGACATAATCTTTGGGATACTCTGAGAAGTCTCTTGGCTATATATGTTTTCATTTGCTTAGTCACACAGTCACTTGTGCTTTTCTGCAGCATGAGGCAAATGAAGGATGTATCGTGTAACATCCCTTCTAGAACCTTTCAAAATTAGTATTATAATTTTATCTAATTTATTAGATTCAACGTGTGTGTTTCTGGAAAATTTTATGTTACAACTTTATTTTGGTTGCATTAATAGCTCTCTTGCTGACTTACAAGAACGTTAAGTGATTGTAATTTATTGGATTATAGAGGAAGTAATAATTGCTAAATGTCTGGGGAGGTGTCTAAAGTATACCCTTAAATAAAGTTTCCAGAACAATCATAAGCCTAAACTTTTTGTAGATGTGCTACACCTCCATTCAGTTGTTGATGCCAACTAATCTGGTCCTTTCTTCTTTCGGCAATTTTCATAGGCATGTGCAATGACAGCTCTCGTGGACTTCGGTGTGCCTGACAAGCCAGAAACTTTGATACCTTACCTAGATGATTTTGTTAACAAACTGCTTGTACTAATGCAGGTGTGGAAATATAGAGGCCGACAAATTACAAAAGTATGTCACTGCTGACAAGTGCAAGAGACTAATGATGGTTTTTCGCCTTTTTGTTGCTTGAAATGTAGAATGGCAAGCAACTAGTCCAACAAGAAGCATTAAGGGCATTGGCTTCTATAGCTGAATCTGTTGAGGTATTAACTGGTTCATTTTTTCGTGACTCAGTTTTATTTCCACTTATATTATGAATCATGAAGGCTAATATATTCTACGTCAACAGGGGCACTTCCGAACGTACTATGACACTGTTATGCCGCACTTGAAAACTGTCCTGAGAAACACAGATCTTAAATCTAATCTCATTCTTCGTGCCAGAGCAATAAAGTGCATAAGCTCTGTTGGGCTTGCTGGTGGAAAAGAGAAATTTAGAGATGATGAAAAACAGGTCTTCTATCAATTATGCCCAGTGGATCCACTACATTCTTTTTCAGTTCCATACTCATGGGATGCTTAACACTATATTGATCCCATTGATTGGGATGGCTTCTTTCTTTTTCCGTTTGTTATGCTTTGTCAAATGACTGTACCATAGTCAAACCGTAGTGTAGATTACTCTTGTTTGAGTTACTACTACTTTCAATAATAATGAGCAACAAAATAATGACAGGGATATCTTTCCTCTTACCAATTCCATTTTGGCTTCCCTCCTTTCTGCTTGTCTTGGCATTCTCATTCTTGTCTTATTTTCCCATGGCCATTTCTCAACATGGAGCTCACTTTTTATGTGTTTCCTTTTTGTTGTTGTCATTGAAGGTTATGGAAGAGCTTATGTCATTACTAGGAATATTACAAATGAAGGCGGTTGATCCTGTTACTTATTACATGCTAAGCGTATGTTTATCACTTGATTTTAAGATTAATATTTCTGTCTAGATTGGCATGTCTTTATTTTCTTTATTACATTGCAGGCATGTAGTAACATTTGCAAGTGCCTGGAGCAGGAGTTTCTTCCGTATATGAATGTAGTCATGCCCTTTTGTATTCAATGTGCTCAACTTAAATTAGATAATAAAAGGTACTAAGATTTTATCATCCAGGTTTGACTTTCTCCCTTATTTGTGAAGTTCATTTAGATTTTTTTTGCTTTTTATTGAGTTATATGACCTACATGCCTGTGAAAGCGCATCCAAAGGTCTTACAAAAATCTTGGGCCTCTCCACCTGTTGCTTGAGGTTTTAAGCTGGATTAGATTCATTCAAATAACATCAGAACCAAATTCTAACCGATAGAAATCGGACAAGCAAACCAGTAGTATAAAAGATGAAATATCTTGGTGTATAATATGTGCTGATGATGCAATGATAATTGACAAAACTATTAAGAGAGGCAACCAAAAGCTTGAACTATGAGAAAACACTCTGGAGAGAGGGTTTTACAAGTAACAATTAGGTATATGCATTGCAAGTTTATCCTACATAAGAAGAAGAAAGTTGAGGTGAGACTAAAAGGAATTGATGTGCCAGATGTAGACAGTTCAGATATCAAGGCTTAGTCTTTCTCGAGAATGTCATGATAGATTTTTAATATATATATTAAAAATAGAATAAGAGTGTTACATTTTCCGTCTTCTGGAGCCGAGGGTCTATCGGAAACAGCCTCTCTGCCCCATCGGGGTAGGGGTAAGGTCTGCGTACACACTACCCTCCCCAGACCCCACTTTGTGGGATGTTACTGGTTCGTTGTTGTTGTTGTTGTTGTTGTTGTAGAATAAGAGTGTTACATGATAGGAAGACACTGTTGCAGTAAAAGGCAAGTACCATAGAATATCTGTGAGACCATCAATGTTATACGAATAAGTGTTAGTTCTCTATGACCACGCATAGCCACAAGATGAATGTCTTAGAAACGCAATGTTAAGTCGGATGTACCATCAAATTAACAAGACTGGACAAGTTTAGAAATAACCACATAAGAGAGAAGGTGCAAGTAGTATATATAGAGGATAACTTGAAACAAGAAGTAGTATATAGAGGATAAAATAAGAGAAGTAGCCTGAGATAATTTCACTTGTCCTAATGTAAACCTTCTATGAACTGGTTCATAGGTGTGACACTACTATGATTGAGGATATTAAACAGAATAAGGTAGACGTCATACACATAGGCAGAAGTTGTCCCAGAAGACTTACAATCTGTTGGAATAAGTATTGGTTTAACGAAGATCAAACTACAATGAAAGAAGTATCCATATAGGCGGCCTAAACTAGTTGGATTATAGTTTTAGTTATTGTTGTGACACTTACAATAGGTGCAGTGTTTGACAGAAGTCTAGTTTGGTTAGAGATCTCTATGACAGTATAAGATAAATGTCATAATAGTTAATCTAATTGAGAATCCTTAGGTTGTCCTAAAGATAAATTATTTAGTATTGAAATGAAACATGCTTAAATAGAGTGGAATCAAGATTAAGGATTCATATTACAATTCCAAACAGTTTGGGATCAAGGCGTAGTGGTTGTTGTTTATTGATAAGCAAGATGCTTTGTTTAAAATTTAACGCCTATCGATAGATTGTGACAAGCGGAACCATGGCACAAGGTGAACATACTTTTGATAGATGAATCTGATCATGGTAAGTGGAACCGCGACATAAGGTGTACATTTTCTGTGTAATTTTTTCTATTGAGTTGCTGTAAATCTATGTTGCACTATTTAAACCTAAAAGTCCGTCGTCAAGGCTCTTCTCATTGTGTTCTGCGCACATTTACTGACTCATAGTCTGAATTGGTTGCCAAATCCTGTAGTCAAATTAATCTAAAGATGTGTAGTCGCCACATCTATAGGAGTACCTGTTTTTGCCTTACTCAACAACCGTATTTGTTTTTTGAGATGGGTAGTTAATTAAATAAAGACTTCTTTCGAATATGATTGATTTCTAGCTAGTTCTTACTTTAGATTTAACAAGTACTAAGACTTCTGCGAGAGGTGGTTGTTAGGGGTACCTAGGATCTCACTTACACTTCACATTTTGCAGTATAGAGAAAGTCAAGAAAAGAGATGTCCTAGAGGTGAAAACTAAAGCCTGTAATTTGCTATGCTACTATGCTGATATATTGAAGGAAGATTTCTACCCATGGATTTCCCAGGTTGGCATGAAAACCTGTGCTTTTTCTTTTCTTTTCATGTGCTGTTGAATGAAGTCAAATTAAACAAGTGATATCAATGGGTTAATGCATAAAACAGGCTGTTTCAATCTTTGTTCCGCTTCTTGACTTCTATACCCGCGAGATCAGGGCATCTGCTGCAAAAAGTGAGAATTCTCATGATTTCATATTTTTTTTTTTTTGTTTTCATTTAATCTTTCTCGTTGCTGATGCAATTTTATAATTTATGCTGTTTAAGCCATGCCCATCTTGTTGCGTTCTGCTAAACTGGCTGTTAAGAAAGGGATTGCTAAAGGTGAAAGTGAGTCATCCACGAAGAACTTGTCAGACCATATAATACTGTCTTTGCTACACGCTATACACACGGTTGTCCTTAACATCAGTACTTATGTTCTTTTTGTTCCTTGTTTTTTTGGTGGGTTAAATGATTAAGTTGGGTCTAGTTGGATACTGCAAAATTTACACTTGATATGTTTTCTCATGTACACAGGAGTACGTGACAGAAACATGTGCAATCATGCTAGATAAATTGAACGACTGCCTGCAGGTTGGTTATATTCCAACATGATCAAACTGTTGGCCTTTACATCTCACACAGTAAATAACTTATTTTAGTGCTTGTACCTCGAGGTTTTGTATATACATGTCCCTAAGTTCATCAAACATGTTCAACTATTAATCAAGGAGATACCTCCCTGACCCTATTCAGTTGCCAAAGACGACCCCTCGTCTTGAGCTACGTATAGATTTTATGATACACAAAATACCTTCAGGTTATTATCAAGTTATTAAAGAGGCTGACACGTTGGGATTCTTCTAGTGGCGGATTTAGACTAAACAAAGAATTAATTGCGATTAATTTGAACTATGTATATTTGTGTAAAAAAGATCCTCAAAATTTTTGCAGTCACTCTAGATATATGACCCGATTTCTTATCCTTCTCTAGAGATCTAAACGAGACACTCGCCAAACTCTTACCAGTTATATTCTCTAGAAGCAAAAGAAAGCTTATAGTACAGCTCTTATGCAGAGGAAGACATGGGGAAAATGAGCAATGACTTGCACGCTAATATGTTCAGGGGATCAAGTAAAGGAGGACCTCTTTATTTGATTCTTACTATGTGTGGGAACACATGTAGATTTCATACCTACAAATACATGGTTAAACCATAATAAAATGTTTAAACATTGACAGATAGCGTAAATACAAAACTCCTCTCGGCGTATTGACTTTGTGATAGATTGGCTCCATAAGCCAACTAATGGATATTATTTTTAATATTTTCATAGTAGTGTCAAATTAAGAGTAACAGTGGCAGAAGGCAAGCTAGAACGCAAAGGAATATTTCTGCTATTGTGGTCTTTTTGTATCTTCTTTCAGATTTGTGGACCACTTCTCAGTGAAAGTCAGGTTCGTAGCATCGTGGATGAAATAAAGCATGCCATTACAAAAAGTTCAGATAGAAAACAAGAACTCACGGAGAGAGCGAAAACAGAAGACTTTGATGCTGAGGAAGCTGAATTGTTGAGGGAGGCCGAAATAAAGCAAGAAAGCGTAGCTTTCGGCAATGTATGTTCTATATAAGAATGGAGTTCAGGCATTATAAGAACACAATGTTGTCTTTCTATAAGTTTTTCACTTCGAATCTACCAGTATTTTTGAATCATACTAACGTTCTTAATAGGTTGGTGAAATATTGTGCACATTCATCAAATCTTTCAAGTCTTCTTTCTTGCCTTTCCTTGACGAGTTGTCATCATATTTACTACCTATGTGGGTAAGTTATAACCAATGTCATCTTAACCTCTAGCTGTTTTTTCCATTTTAAATCTTATTGTTTTCCACATCCAATATTTCTTGCTTGTGTGAAGGCCAAGGAGAAAACACCTAGTGAAAGATGTACATCTATTTGTATCTTTGATGCTCTTATGGAGGAGTGCCCTGAAGCAGCTCTAAAGTAGGTCTATTTGTATGGGTATTTTTCAAATATGGGTTCCAAAATCTGATTGTTACTTCCTGTCAAAATTAGGTACTATGATGTATGTCTTCCTTTAGTTTTGGACGCAAGCAATGATGAAGACCCAGATGTTAGACAGGTTTGTACATCTTACTGGTTGTAATAGCTTTAAGTGAAGTTGCATTCGCTACTTGTGCTTGCTCTGATGTCATGTTCAGGCTGCTCTTTATGGACTTGGAGTTTGGGCGGAATATGATCGTACTTCTTTCAAACACATTGTTGAAGGTATGACATTGTTGAATGTGATATTGAGACCGTTTTCATCATGGATGAGGGGAAAAGAAGTCATATGATTTTCTTTTGTATTCACTTAGTCTTATGACCTGAACCTGCAGAAGCTTTGTCGAGCATCAATGTAGTGATAATGCATAAAAATGCTCTTAAACCTGAGAATGTATGTGCATATGATAATGCTGTTTCTGCACTTGGTAAGATATGCCAGTTTCATGGTGAAAGTATCGACTCAGCCCAGGTATGTTTTTTTTATCTGTTGATGCATTCATATACCTTCAGCTCATATATGTTTGAGTTAGCATTCCAAAATTTCAGTTATAAATTTTGGGTACTTCATTGCATGCATCAAAAAGTTTAAGTAATGTCATAACGTTTGGATCAGATAATTGTCTTTTCAATATTAGTCTAATAAAATCTAGAAGTCAGTAAGTCAATTGAATCATCCCGAGAAACAATTGCTAACGACCATGGATATAGTCGTGTGATGCTTGTTTTATGCCTGCATATAGAGATTTACAAGAGTAGTCTACTATGCTTGTAATTTCCCCTAATTCTTATTCCAAGGCATTTGGCAGATTATTCCAGCTTGGTTGAATTGCCTGCCTATAAAAGCTGACTTGGATGACGCCAAACATGTTCATGAACTGTTGTGTTCAATGGTCGAAAGGTACTGGATTGGTTTGCTCTAGTCTTTATGCTCATTTACTCTGGATTGGTTTTGCTATCTTAGCATTGGTCATTACGGCTGTTTACAGGGGTAACAATGAAACTCAGTTCTTAGTAATTAATGCAATTATATTGCTTTTGGAAATTGTTTTTCGTTATGTTGTTGTGAACCACAAAAGAGAATATCAAAATTCACAAATGGCAACATGTTATTAGAAATCTTTTCTGTAGAAGAGATTGTAAATTGTATTAGTTCTTAACAAAAGAACGTATCTGTCTTAAATGAATTCTGTAATTTTAGATTTAGGGAAAACTATAAAAACATCTGTCAGACGAAATTATTGAAGCAATATATTAATACTGTAGTAACTAGTTTACAAGTTAATGACAGTGCATCTGCAACAGTTTTGATATTTTTGGTATAACAAAATTTCATTAGGCGATGAAACCTTTAAATACAGATGAATCTGATTGTTGGTGGTTGTTAATGAGATTTATCTAGGTTTTGAACTAACAAACTAAACATTAACATGAAGTGCAAACTCTAATATGTGATCTCATATATCAACGCCTTTTAGTCTTTTACTGTTTACTGAATTTTCTCACTTGCAGGTCCGACAGAGAACTTTTAGGTCCCAATTATGAATACCTTCCAAAAGTTATTTCAGTTTTTGCAGAGGTCAGTGTGAAATCAAAGCCTCGACTGAGTTGTTCATTTGTGATAGATATGAAGATTTTGCAACTGTGTTTCTTTTATTTATTCTTGTAAGAAAAGCATTAAAACCTCATGAAATTCTATAAATTGCATTCTGTATTTCTTGTTTGTGTTATGTTTTTTAAGTATCAATTTGACTATCAGCTCTCTGTAGCTGCAAATATCTGATAAAAAAACAAGGTAAAATATTATCAAGAGTAGAGTAGAAAAAAACAACTATGTAGCAATACTGTTCAAGGATCTAACTTTAAATAGCATCCACTTATTTACTTCCCTTGTCCTTTAAATTAATTTGCCAATATGATTGTCTCACTGTATCGTGGAATGTGGCCTTTATCAAACTAAATTTTATGTTTATGGAAACAATCTGTAGGTTTTGTGTTCTGAAAAGGAACTTGCTACAGAAGAAACTGCAAATCGTATGATTGATGCATTGAGGCATCTTCAGCAAACACTACCAGTAGTCACCATGGAATCAGCATGGTCATATATTTTGCCTCGGGAGGAGATGGAATTGAAATCCATTATGTCACCTGAAGAAGATGCTAACTTTTTACCTATTCAATGAAACTACTATTACTGTAGTTTTTGTTGGAGCAAACATTTTGATGATCGATAATTCTCCAATGTAATATCCTAGCTTATCTTGTGTGATCACTCCAGGGGGATGGTTCAGATGTTGGGTCTGTTATATTTAACAATCTTCGCACTCCCCAACTCCAGCACGCATACTACTATGTAAGTTGTAACATTGTGTCATTTCTTCAGCTAAAAGAGTCAAGAGTGTATCAGTTGTTAGCACAAAGGATTGAAGATATTCTGCAACATCCACATGTATTATATACTTCTTAAAAGCACTACTCCTACAAACATCATTGAAGCAATAATTGGGTTATGTTCGTTGGTAGTTTTGATGCTTTGTTCGATAAATACTCCCCACTTATCTTTTCAATTCTCAGTTTGAGTACTCTACTTAGCATGTAACTTGGAGCTCATCATATTATCATTCTTTTTATCTTTCTGTGATGCGACAATAGTAACTTTTTCATGTCAAAGGCAATACTCTTGCAGCTTGTTTGGATGGTTGTTGTTATACCCTATTTTCAAACTAGCGTATAACATTTTGTTAATTTCAGAGTTTTATTATTTAAGAGAGTCGGCACCTAATATATTAAGGATTCATAGAAGCTTATGTCATCTTGTTTTAGAATTATGACGTATAAGTAGATATTTGTATTTGCTCCTGGAAACGCTGTTACCTTATTATTCCGGTTTTAGATTTATGTTTAAGCATGTATCAAGCCTTTTAGTGCACCAGCTATCTAGCAAGACTTATGCATCAAACTAATCAATCTTACATATCCATGAAATATGGATGAGACATTTCTCCATTTCAGGGCATCTTTCAGCTAAAACAGATCACCAATTCAGTACTATTCCAACTAACAAAAAAAGCTCCCCTATGTTAAAGTTTATAAAATGCAGTGTGCAACCATAAGATTCTCTTGTACCTACTATAGTCTACATGAAACTAACTTTATATTTGTTGGATGATATCTTGCTTTCTTAATTTTAATTATGAGTATGGGATGTATCCAAATGGCAGATTTTAGGAGGGAAGAAGTACAACAAATAGTTAAGAAAATGATGAAAGAGTAAAACCAAAAGGGCAGGCCAGCTTCGTGATTAGTTTTATGGTTGACCAAGTACAAGGTGTCCTAATCCACCAAATATTATGCTATTTTTGTCAAGACTAGACCACATTTGACTTTTGTTTCTTTTTATAGTTTTTGAACTTCATTTGTATTTTAATAACATCCTATCTAGAATCTTATATGTACTGGCTAGCATGTCTTAGTCATTTTTAAACTTTCTCTTTCTCCCTTTCTTGTGAAGTTGTTAAAATGTTAATTCTAGAAATGATTTTATAATTTTTGTTAGTATTAAGTTTTACCAATCTTTGAGATGAACTCACCTTCTTTATTTCGATAACTTTTTTGGTTTCCACCGGCCGTTTGGGTCCGATTAATTCGGATTCACTCCAGAAAATTTTACTTTGGAAGTAAAGTACTCCCTACCGAAAATGGCTCAAGTTTCAAGATTCGAACCGAAACCTCTTGCTAACGATGGATGAATATTTATCACTCTACCATAACTTTTGGTGGTACAATAATTTGTCAAATTAAGACCCCTCTTTGTCAAGACAAGCATAATACATCATTTTTGTGCATTTTGCGGGCACCAATAATGATTCGTGGTCTGCAAAAATGACAAAATGTGCCTTTTTAGGATCGGATGATGAACAATGCCACCACTTAATGATACTTAAAAATACAATACAATGCCATCATCACTAATACTTGAAAATTGAGATAAAGAAAAGAATTTCCAAAAGACCCTTTATTAATTAGACATATAGTTGATAATGTTAGGTATTTTGATCATCCAAAATACATATTTAAAAGAAAGAATCTAGAAGAGATGAAGGCCAGAAACTAAGGCATCATTTCCCACCACTTTAACCAAAAAGACAAAGAACGTGCATAAGTGTGAGACTTAGAGCATGCCTTGCAAAACATGCAGCAAACATAACAAACTAACAAACACATAAAATAAACAATACATATTCTTAGATAATTGTGTTTGGTTTGATCATTCATGTTAAACAAGTCATTGCCTTCATGACATATTGTCACATCTTTTCTCCCTAACATAAACATTGATATTTCAGTCAACTAAAGAAAGAACAAGTAAATGAAGACAAGGCTCCCATAAAATTCAAAGAATTATATAAAGAACCTTAACATTGTCTCTTTTGTTTAAAGAACTCTCTCATTCCTCTCCTCTTACTTTCCTTTAAACATATATCTTTGCCTTAGCTTCAATGGAACAAGAACAAGTATATGATTCCACCAAAGAGTGGAGTGCAAAAGTTCCAAAACAAAAGAAATTTGTTGGAGTAAGACAACGGCCTTCAGGAAAATGGGTTGCAGAGATCAAGAACACAACTCAGAAGATCAGAATGTGGCTCGGAACGTTTGATACAGCTGAGGAAGCTGCACAGGCTTATGATGAGGCTGCTTGTCTTCTCCGAGGATCAAATACTCGAACGAATTTCCATAACCATGCCCCTGTCAATCCTGCTCTTTCTATTAAAATTAGAAACCTCCTCAACCATAAGAAAAGCCTCAACAAGATCAAGTCCAAAACTACTCCTAGAAATCCCACTATTACTACACCTACTGCTACAACAAGTACTACTATTTCTTCTTGTACAAGTTCTTTTAGTGTTAGCAATAGTTTTAGTTCTAATACTGATACAAGTGACTCAAGAAGTCATCAAGAAACTCAGATATTTGGTGATGCATATAAACCAGATTTGAGTTTTTTTATGGGTGGATTTGATCAAATGGGGTCCTCTACTTTTGATCATTCTTCAACGTTTTCGACTGATTTTGATAGGATTTTTTTGGATGAAAAAGTTGGTAATTTTCAGGTGCCAAAAGGAGGGGTTGTTCATGAGATAGGAAATGTTGAAGATCAGATTCCTGAATTTGAACACATGAAAGTTGAGAGGCAAATATCAGCATCACTATATGCTATGAATGGAGTGAATGAGTATTGGGAGAATATTCATGATTGTAATATTGATGCTGCTTTTTGGGATCTTCCTATGCTCTACCAAATGTTTTGTCCTAGTTAGGAATTGTGTTAGGCCTTTTCTCAATCTCTTATGTTAACAATTGAAGTTAATCATCAAATTCAAGGTACTCAATGAGTTTCAAAGATTTATTGAGAGCCTTTTTAGATTCTAGAGATTTGGATCAAATTAAACTTTAAGGCTTCATAATGAAAGTTGTAGGTGTAGTTTCTTGGGCCTTTTGTGAGTTACTAATTTTTTATATTGTAGGTGGGAATAGTTGGGAGGGAAAAATGCGGGATTGACAGGTATCCCACACCTCGCATTCATGATATCTATATTCAACTGTGCTTTGAAGACTAAATGTTGAAATCATATGATTTGATAATTCTTTCCGGAAAAAAAAAGAACCAAGATTGAAATCTGGAATTTTAATTGACTTACTCACAATTAACTTGGAAAAGATTCAGAAGCCAACTTCTTATTTTATAACTTAAACATAAATTTTAATATAATATTTATGCGATTTACAAAAAAATTGCACATCGAAATAAGGTAGAAGGGATTTGACAAATTGGACCGAATTCACCATAAAATTAGCACGCAAATACAATTTACTCGGTTCAAAACCCATACAAAATATTCTCCCATATATATATTTTTTTTCAAATTACTAAGTAATCACATCGCCGCATTTATTTTTTTAAAACTATATTCTCATTGATAGAGGTAGATTTTACTTTTTGAAGATGCAGATTTCTTTTGACAACCACTCTTCTTTCCCCTCGGAAAAAATAATAAAAAATAGATTTATAAAAATAGAAACCAAATCATCAAAATTATAATTATTAATAAGAGTTTTTTTCACTTTAACTTGCGCAAGAAATTATTTTACATTCGACAACCGAAAAAGTGTATAAATTTTATATTTTACACTTTAAATAATATGAAAAGAAGTACTCCTATGTATTTTCCATTTTTAGCCCATCAAGAAATAAAGGCAGTCAAAATTTCCAAAAAGCTCCAATAATAATTAAAGAAAAGGATAAAAAAAAAATGAGAGTGGAATTACACGAGATAAAAGCAGAAAGAAGGTCATGTAATGGCCAAATAGCCACGTCATCAGTCTCTTACCTTTCCCTTTCTTCAATAAAAAGACTCCTCTTTTGAATCAAATAACACTTAGCTCTTATTATTATACTTACAACTCTTCATTCAGACTCCTTTGCTCAAACACTTTCTCTCAATTTCTGAATATCTACGCTCTCAAGTAGGTATGCTCTGCTCTTTTTTTTGTATTTATTTATTTGATGCATTTTCATTGGTTCTTGAATCTTGATACTATTATGTATTCAATTGATCTCTGTTTCTTTTTGTCTTTAAGATTTCTGGGTTTTGTGTATTTTTGTAGAGTTATTGTGCTTTTAATTGTGATGATCGTGACATGGAGTTGGCATATGACCATGGAGTGGTTTTATATTTAGTGTGTGTGCATATACAGAAAGACGACTAATTTATTCTTTTTGTGTTTTGATTTTTCAACCCCTCTGCGCTAAATTGTGCACTTGTGTAGTTATAGGAAGTTGGATATGACCATAATGTGGTTTTATACTACGTGTGTATGTTGTTGGTTGTATTATGTATGCAGAAATGTAGTTCTTTCTGGTTAATTTTACTATCTGGGTCCTTTGGCTTTGTAGCTCAAGAATTGTAAGGTTTCTTGGAAGTAGAAGAATAGTGGACTAAGTGGAATTTCAGGAGGAAAGAAGTTCGAGATAAAGTATTTGATGCTTTTTTGCAATGACCTTTTTTTCGTGTAACTGTACGTTAGCTTTTGTTTTATCGCGGAGACTGAGTAGTTGAATGAGTCCTTGTAGCTCATACTTATGAAAGTCATTGGCTTATAGGGATTTGGTAACAAATTGCATCACCGATAACCTTAAGGTAGGATTGTGTTTGGAGGTTTACTTTGTTACTAGGGATGAGATGGATTGTATTCGTTTGCAGTTATACATATTCTTCCTTCCCCAATAGGTCGATTTTCTACTGACTCGTAAGATATTAGTGATTGGAAACAGCCTCTCTCTATCTACACGAGGTAGGGTTAAGGTCTGCGTACACACTACCCTCCCCAGACCCACTATGTGGGATTACACTGGGTTTTTTGTTGTTGTTGTCGTAAGATATTAGTTGAGCTTCATCCTTGCTGGCAATAAGGACACCGAAGATCCTCTCATATCACTCCACATTCTTTTTGTTTGTTTTTTTATTGTACTTGTCATCATTTAAGTCATCACGACTTATACATAGCCCTCTCTTCCCTTTTCCAATGACCTGTTGCTGCAGGGACATTAATTTGAATGCCTTGGTGAATCTTGTCGGTCCCTGCATCCTCATATAAATTTCTCTTATTGAGCCTTGATATGTGATTTGCTAATAGTAATTTTTTTTTCAATGAAGCTGGACAGTAGGTGTAAGTGACCACCTTTTACAATATACTCATTGATGGTGCGCACAAGCTGGGTGTACACTTCTACTGAAATATTGACATAGAGCTTTATTGCAATAGTTCCAAGTGTTGGAGCCTCAAAAATGTCGAACGGAGATGGAAGAAAAGTCTCTTGTGAAGATATACAAATGGTATGCTTTCAATCTTTCTGTAGATGAGTTGTGATCTCCTACTGTTACTTTGTCTCTTTGCTTAGTCTTATTCTCGGTTGTAATCATTCTTTAAGAAACACAATTGTCGAAAAGGTAAGAAGCAATTGTGATGATTCTAATTACTTGATTATTACTTCTCTAAAACACCAAGAATTTGTTCGTGGTTCCTTTTCCCCATTAACATGGAAGAATGTTTTGCTGGCTCGTTGATGATGTATATGAAGATAATTACGACCTAAGTTGCTCGGACTCTTCACTTTCAGTGCCGCACCCGTGTCGACACGAAATGGGTGTGGATATGGGTGTGAGATCCGTGTCGGATCTGGTCAACCAATTTTGGGTACTTTGACCAAAATCAACGGAAAAATTTGGGACAGATACAATAATTTTTGAAAACAAATCAAAAGCTAGGGTGATATGGAAGAAAATGGAATACCTTGTATATATAAATTTCTATGTCAGTCCTTTTCCTTTTATCTCCTTCTAAAATTCTACTCTTGTTCAATATTTTCTCCTTCTCGGAATACCTTGTAAGTTTTTCACATAATGTCTCATAATTTAGACATATTTTTATAACTCTATTTTTAAATAATTGAATTATTTTTAGCCGAATCCCCGTACCCGTATCCGTACCCCCGAATCTTTAAATTTAGATCATGAAGGATCTGACCTCTAGATCCGCACCCGTATCGGACACCCGTACCCGAGTCCGAGCAACTTAGATTACGACTAATAAAATCCTTGAGCCTGTCTCCTTATCAATATTTAACAACTAATAGCATCTTTTTGGGGACAAAGAGCGATTTAGTTCATTGGTTGAAGGAGAAATAGTTTTATTTTTAATTTATATTTCAGTTGTCCCTTTATGGAATGTTATCAGTAATGACGTATACTTCAACCAACACTGCGTAATCTAGTGTTGCATTTTAATATTATTCTCTGAAGCTTAACCCCCTCACTCTCCCAATGAAACCAAACCAAAAAGAAAGCTTGGGTATCCTAGTTAGATGAGTTTTCACAATCACCAGCTATTCTAAATTGAATAATCATGCGATGTGCGCAATGACACGTGAAAAAGCTGATGGTTGTTTTGAGTTTCAGGTGCAAAATCGGATAGAGCAGTGTCTTCGGCAATACATGAGTCGGAAAGAAGTTGTGAACACTCTCTTCATCCAGGACAACATAGAGCCTAGATTTACTGAACTCGGTATGTTATATATTTTTCAAGGCATAACTCACTTCCTCCATGTGGTATCAAATGAAGATGAACTTAAGAATTCATACAACACAGATAGTCCGAAAGAGATTTGAATAAGGATCAGAAAGCTCCCTATGGTTAACAGTGGAGTATTCCTCATGCTTCTTGAAAATACTAGATACATTATCAAAAAATACAATATACATGGAAAGTGTCAATCATAACTTATAAAAAAAGAGTTTCTTTTGCCCATGTCTTTTTAGCTCTTTTTCACACATGCTGATGTTCTGTGCCTTTTTAACCAAAAATCACCTTTTCGTTCTGTTACAGTCGAGTTTATTACCGCTTGTTATAAGCTTTATATCTTACTAGTTGAATGACCACGTCTGTTTGAGTACCGTTCTTTAGCTGTCCTGTGTTGTTGTCTATTTTTTATCTCTAATTTTACAGTGGAATGCTTCCTCTGTGTTTAACAAGTGTCCGAGGAAAACAAGTGTATGAATGCATGAGTATGTAAATATCCTTGAGCAGGGCCAGCTAACCTCCAACGCTAGTGTCATTGCTTCTTTTCCCCCTTAATTATGGATTCATTCTTTAAATTCTTAGAACTCAAATAAGTAAAACTTGATTTTTTTGCTAAACACAGCTACAGAGGTAGTTGTTCTAAGGATTTAAAGGTAGAAGCAATCTGAGTCATACCTTAAACTCTCTGTATTAGTTTTATTTTTTGGTGCTTGATTGGGCACAATTTAAGATATTAGTTTGACTTGTGTATTGAGAGTGGAAGAAAAATATTAAAGGATTGATTGAGAAATTAGTTTGATAGAGAAAATGTCACATCAAAGTTAAAAAGTTGAATAGTTTAATATGATTGAATTCTTGAAAGTTGTGAAAGTTGCATAAAAATGAAATGGTGTCAAATATTTTGGAACATCCAAAATTAAAAGAGTCAGAAAATTGGAACAGAGTGAGGATTTAAATTTCTTCATAAAACCTTGTGTTAACAATTGTTTAAGCGAGTAACTGGAATTGAGAGCTTCCTAGATCAAACTTCCTTGGCCTATAGAAAGTGATAGCTTCCTAGATCAAACTTCCGCGGCTCATAAGGAATTGGTTCTTACCAATTGGCATCCATTTTGGGAAAAGATCTAGCAAAAGATTAGTTTCTTGTTTCAACTTAACAATAGACTGTTGCATTTTTATCCGTACGAATTTCTATGTTATCCAACCATATGTTATAGTTTCTCACTTCTAATTTTTCATTTGCGTTTGGTTAATAGGCAAGAGGAACTGCATAACAGCCAGTAGCGAAGTAACATAAGTATAACTATTTTTTTCACAATTATATCTTCTAGAAAGCAATACAGGGGGACATGGATGGATGTGTCACAGAGCTGAACTTCTTGTTTG